TCATACGCCCTTGTTGAGCAATACATTGTAACTGGACGTTAAAAACAACATTAATATTAATCTGCAGATATATGCTTTATTTAAATATAATTAGGAGAAACGAGCTAAAATAATTGATTCACAATATGTTTAATTAAAATCTTTCAATTTAATAAAAAAAAAGACTCACTTTAATCCATCCTCCATGAGCGGTCACTACCACGTATAGTAAATACAGATCTATATCCTTCCCATTTATCTTTGGAGACTTCTTGAAAAGAGTCCTAAAATTAGAAAAGAATATTTGTAATATCGGACAAGTTTTAAATGAATTTCACTATATTTAGATAAGTAATTTTTTATAAATCAAAAAGCAATTTTTTTCCGTTTTAAGATTTATGATTTGGTAAAAATATGTAAAAAGTAATAAGTGTATAATGGTGTTAACTATTATACACTTATGGACTTATCTCTTTATGAATGTAAAGAATAACAAAATCTTTGACAATTAATTAATTTGCCAAAAAATCGAATACAATTTTTATTTATAAACAATAAGACAGAGAGAAAAGTGACAAGTATCTACATTCATAGAATCTTAATGTAAAATTTAATCGATAAATTTGTGAATTTGCCAGAGAAACAGTGCCCGAAGAAAATCTAATTTCTAAATCCATCCAATGAAACGAATTTGAATCGCGACGTAGCAAGCGTTACAAAACATTAGCGCATAACGCGTGTTATTTCCGTTTTTACGTCGTAAAAAAAAATTGGCGGTTCACGTAATCGTGATATAAGATCCGGAGCTAAATCGAATCACAACAGTACGTTCAAGCATATTTACGTTACACCGTCGCGCACATTTCGAGAATATCTCGATGCTATATCAAATCTACATGTGTACGCACACACATATATCCATACATGTGTATACCTGTGTATGCAAGGGTAATCCGTATACATATTGAAGTCTTTCCGCGAGGCACGTTTTTCTGGCGCGTGCAAAACCGTCCACGCGGAAAATACTCACGGGAAACGCTCGGTAAATACGAACCTTTGTCCTCGAAACCCGACAAGAATCGAAGGAACGAAGTCGAACCTAACCTCAACGTGCGCTGGCGCGCGTTGGCGGCTTCTGATCGTCGATCGGTCGGGTGATGACGGTCAGGAGGGAAGGGGGGGGAGGGGAAGGAAGAGGACAGCGATCTAAGTTGGAGACAAACGTATGTATGTACGCACGCAAGATGGTGAGATGAGGATGGAGGGAAGAGGGGAATGTACTCGATCACTCCATCAGATGCAGTACATGTGCATTTTGGCTTACCCTCGAGTCTCGTGGAAGTGTCGGAGGTCCTTGAGGAAGTTGTCTCTCTCCTTCTCGTACGTGACGGGGTCCTTGTTGAGGATCTTGGCCATGTTTGCGAGTACGAAGTGCGCGTGTTCGGGCGTGCTAATCGGGGTTGGTGTGCTCCGGATTTACAGGGCACGACGCAGGGGTAGCGGGCAGAGAAGTAGAAGGAGGTGCAGCACATGGGCGCGCACGGGAGCACATTTACACGAGGAGCGTCCTGCTGCGGTTGCTGCTCTCACAGCGACGTACGACGACGACGACGGCGTACGAGGGCGAAGGCGAGGACTACCGCGGGTCGACACGAGGTCGCGACCCGCTTCCGACATCGGGTCGTCTTGTCCTGCACTCAAGTCGGCTGGTGGCTTCTTCTCGATACTTTTTTTTCTGTCTCTCCTCCTCCCTCCCTATCTCGCACGCTCTTTCTCCTATGCCTCTTTTCTCCTACACACACGCGCTCACTCTCTCCCCCCCTCTCTCTCTCGGTCTTTCTCTTCCCTTGTTGGTCGACCGCGCGTTCGTTCGCTCGTTCACTCGCTCTCTCGCTCGCGCGCACGAAACGAAACAGCGACGACGACGGCAGCGGTAGCGGCTTTTTCCTGCCGCCTCTGAATAACCTGCTCGCTGCCGCGTACGACGCTTCCGCGCGCGACTACGACACGAGATTCTCGCGCCGCGTGCACGAAAAATCGGTATGCGCCACCGTTTAGAAGCTAGTTAGCAGCGGTCAAACACAAACGACTCGCATTTATAGTAGCATTTACACGGAGGCACACGGTACAGTAAGAACAGAACAGAACAGAACAGTACAGTACAGCACAGCACAGCACGGCACGACACGACACGACATAATACCGCTCGCGGTTGGCTCGGCTCGGCTCGGCTCGGTTCTTCCGATCTGCTCGGGTTCGCTCCGTTTCGTTCCACTCTCCTCACGGCTCTCGAGACCGCAAACACGACGACAATGACGATGACGATGATGACGACGACGAGCAAGAGCCTTGCTCTCTTTCTCTCTTTCGTAGGCCCCGATCGATTCACCTGTCACTTGTCAACGAAAACTCACGGGGATCCGTTGCGCCACGCACCACATCTGACATCACCAAGCACCTCGCGATGCCCGGCCAGCTCGCGTTACGCCCCGAGCCCGAATTCGACCCCGCGGCCGTGTCCTACGCAGGCCGGCGGTGAACGACTCGCGGAGCGGGTTTCACTGCAACCGAGGCGAAGCGCTTGATGTGCGCCCGTATATCAAAATGGCGTCCCGTGCTGCTTGGCATCCATTGGCGAAGGCACCGCGGCCAATTTCCCGTACGCTACCGCCGATCGCTACGACGCGCGGCGCAACGCGACGGCACACCGCGCACCGTTTCCGCTCACCGCCGTGTATACGGTACGGTATACACACGCATACCCCAGCGTACACCAGCGTACACGTCGGTAGTGACGGTAATGCGTCGGTACTGTCGGTAGGCGCCCGCCCGCTCCCGCGCGCGCGCGCTCATGCCTCGGACGTACACGGTCCTACCGGCTCCTACGTCATTTTACGCGCGGCCACTTCGCGTAAGAAGCCCCGCGACCCACCTACGACGTATCCCACACCTTTCTTTAACCCTCGCGCGACGTTCGACTGATAACAAATCCGAATCGCACACTATATTTTTACTTTCAAAATGGATGGGTGCCCCCATCACCTCCTCCGAGTCTACACTGTACGGTTTGAATTAACGCCCGTGCTGAACGTTCGAGAGCGCAACTTGCCCTGCGGCACGATACTGCCATCTGTTGACGGTCGCCTATCTATCGCCAAAGCGGAACTGAGAACAAGAGGCGCGCAAGACGAGTTTGAATTTAAACGCAATCGCAGAGCATATGTTTGATGTCTGTCTTCTGTCGTACGACTCCCAGCTACTACCATTCCCAGCTAATGCTAAATGCAACTTCGATTAACGCTAATCGGAGCATATAGCATTGTTTGTTTTGTCATCGTAATGATAAATATTAGACGGATGTTGTACGTACGTAGCGTGAATCCTACATTTTAAATATGCTGGATTTGTTCGGAACGATCCGGAGCAACTCCCGAGAGATAAAACAAATATTGCTAATGACTGCGTTCAGCAGACAAAGCAGCTTTGCAACTGTTGTAAAATTCTTCAATACGATTGGTTTTTGCTTTTCCGGACTCCTTATAGATCTAAATGTATAAATCAATCATATTGCAGAATTTTACAACAGTTGCAAAGCTGCTTTCTCTGCTGAAACTGAGCGCAGCCAAAAAATGATTGATTTTAGTCATCACAATTGCCAATGTGAAAAATTAACAATCTATCTCAAAAAAGGAAGAGAGAGAGGAAACGCGTTCTAATTAAACTGCTGGTGGTATTTCTGACAGTTGATCGTAAAATTTACCCCCATCAGCCGTTTTTCACCAATCAGAGTTCTGTGTCAAAGCGCTGTTGCCTGTATGAGGATCCGGGCTAAGGCTTAAAACATCCTATTGTAGATCCGGGGTTATGGGCAACAAATGTTGGAGAAAATGTTGGAAAAAATGTGCGTTCGGGGAGATGCTATTAACGCTATTTCTGTTATTCTGTGCTTGTTTTGGTTGGAAAAATTGATTTTTCACAAAATAGATTAGTTTGCAAACGATTTTTAGTATATCGATACGTACATCGCCCATTCCTACAATATCGACATTCGAATATTGGCGGGAATTACTGAAAAATGACGGACCAATCAAAATTGGCCGTTCCTCGTGTCGCGACTCTTATAGCGTATTTTAATGGCAGAACCGGTGCGCACTCAGTACACATTAATGCCTCCGGCACACCAGCGCGATGTTCGTCGCGCGCGACACGCGATATCCAATGAGTGTACAGCTTTACCGATGTTCTCATTCTAAAGGTATATTCTCATTGGATATCGCGTGTCGCGCGCGACGAACATCGTGCTGGTGTGCCGGTGCCATAAAGCTGTTGTACATTAACCTAATCTGAATGTAAAAGTGAGAGATCTCAGTTAATAAAATACCCAATGTATATTTTATCAAATATCACAATAAAATGTATTAAGGATTTCGTGGTTTAATTTATTTCTATATTTTTTATTCAACGTACATTTTATGTCGATTTGTGTACAACAGCTTTAAAGTGCACTGAGTGCGCACCAGCTCTGCCAGTGAATACTCTATTAAGCCCGATGTCCACGATGCTAGAAATCAGTCCGAGATCTCGGACAGAGAAAAAATTAACAAATCACATTTGAACAATTTGATCACATGACCATTGCTATTGGTCAATTCCTTCTTCATCCGAGATCTCGGACTGGGCTGCGTTCGAAAACATCATCCGGGTTTCTCCGTGTATCATCTTATCCTTGTTTAACACTGAGTGAACAACAAAGATAATACGATCCGCGGGAGCACTCGGGTGATATTTCCGAACGCAGCCCTGATTTTTAGCATCGTGGATACAAGGATCTCTAGGCTACGTTCAAAAACATCACCCGGGTGTCTCCGTGTATTATCTTATCCTTGTTTAACACTGAGTGAACAACAAAGATAATACGATACTCGAGGGCACTCGGGTGATGTTTCTGAACGCAGCCTAGGATCTCTAGACTGGCGGGCTGTAGCGCCTCGGGCGCGAAAAGTTGGCGGATGTGCGTTTCTGAAATCTGGCAACCTTGCTGGAAGTCGTATCTTTCATCTTCTTTTGTGCTTTGCACGTGGGATATGTTCGTGTACTGATTCAGCGCTGATCGGTTTATTTTGGAAATTGGTTATCTCGATCAGTACAAGAATTCAATCATGGTAAGTGATTCAGATAACATTACTTTACAGTTATAAAAGTATATCTACTTTAGCGATAATATATTTGTATCACATTGAGTACCGATTTAGGTTATGCATCTTCGATGCAAAAAGGATACACTCAAAATCTGAAGAAGATAATTATACAGTTTAGCATAATCACTTAAAGAATCAATAAAATTAGGCATATTCGACGCGTTTTTGCATAAAACGAAAGAATCTGGCAGAAATAAGGTGGGGTGGAAATCACTTCGTATGAAAAGTCGAAACTCACGTGCAACAGTACAATTATAGACCTCGTTTCACCTCCGACAGATTTCTTAATCTCAATAGTCGTCAACTTTAAAGCTGATTCTACAATGACTCGATAGTCAGAAGTTCTAAGTCTTATCGGTGAATTGGTGAAATTGGCCAACATCCAACTTATATGACTGATGCGCATTTCCACCAATGTAGATTGATTTCAATCTCGATTCAACTTACTCTTTGTCTTTTTCTAATCTTTAGAACTAGAAAAGGACAAAGAGTAAGTTGAACCGAGACTAAAGTTAATCTACATTGGTGGAAACCGACACAAGGCTACAGATTTTCTTAACTTTACTGACCAAAATCGATTTTATTCCTTCTCATCAGTCGCATTAAATGAGTCGCTGTACAACTAACAACTAGTAGATGCGAAAAATCAGTTGCCTATTTAAGTTAAAACCTGTAAAGACAAGATTTACGACTACCAACTCATTGTAGAGTCAGCGTAACACTTAATATTTCGGTTCGCGGCACAGAGCTATGCTTATTTCTGCTAGATTCTTTTTATGCAAAAATGTCAAATAAGCTCAATTTTATTGATTTTTTAGGTAATTGTGCTAAACTATATAATTACCATTTTGTATATTGTACGTGTTTGTAAAATAATTATTTTTAATTTTCAGGCAACTACTAAAGTCGACAATCCTGAAAAGCCAGGACAGGAAGTTACTCCTATTCATCGAATTAGGATCACACTTACATCGCGCAATGTTCGTTCTCTTGAGAAAGGTAAATAGATTAAAAATATCATGTTTTGCCAAATTATTAAAGAAGAGTTATGAAAAGACCTGTCTTTATGTTACTTGCAAAAAGTAAAATCGACTTTATTTTTTATGCAAATAATCTGATTATGCTAGTTAAAAGTTAGCACCTGAAGGAAACACAAAAAAATAGAATTAAAATTCAAGAAAACATGTGATGTTAAAACGATCTCGTCATTTTGCTTCATACAAATTATCTTTGTTTACAAATGGCATCGTACATAAATTAACGTCACGATTCCAACATGGCTGCTGCGACTAGTCAGGAGCCTTAAATTTATTTTATATCATGATTTAAGTTAACTTTTTTAACTAACAAGGAGAGATTCATACATATGTATTTCACGGATTTTGATCAGTTTTTGCGTAATTATTCGGGGACACCAAAAAATGATCCTTGTAAAGCGATAATTTGCACTTCTGTATATTTTTCGAGAAAATTGTGATTTTAGATCATGACGACGGATCGCTTTTAAAACTCTTTATTCTTTGTTCAAACGCAAATGAAATATTTGAATTTGTTTAAAATTAGAACAAATATATCTCCGATTGATACGAATATATAAGCATATCATCTGAGTAGGGATCCGTACGGATCCTAAAACAGTCTTAAATATAAGATCCAATTATGAATACCGGCGTATAAAAATGATGTCGATCTTATTTTCTGTGGACATAGCACAAACAGGCCTTTTTGTAGCACCCTTTTCTCAAAAAATTATATTAATGTACAATTTTTTAAGTCTCATGCAATGACTAATTCGATTCTGTTTGTTTTAGTGTGTGCGGAATTAATCAATGGAGCTAAAAAGCAAAAATTGAAGGTCAAAGGACCTGTTCGTATGCCAACCAAGGTTCTAAGAATAACAACTCGCAAAACGCCATGTGGTGAGGGTTCGAAGACCTGGGATCGATTCCAGATGCGAATTCACAAGAGAGTGATCGATTTATATTCGCCATCAGAGATTGTGAAACAAATCACAAGCATTTCTATCGAGCCTGGTGTAGAGGTGGAAGTAACGATTGCTAATGAATAAACAATGACATTAAAACTACAAAGTTTTAATAAAAATATTTAAAAACTTAAAACATGTTTATTGTTATTTATTGTTTTACGATCATTTATTGGTAATACTTCAGATTAGGGGACTCCCCTTCAATCACCTTGACATATGTTGTAACAAGTTTTAGCCGTCGCTCGTTATTAGTTAAAAAGTTATTACCAAAAAAAAGTTTTTTGAAAAATAACGTTTTATTTCTGCTATATATAATATTAAAAACTCTTCCTTGCTTACATAAGACTTCACGCGAAGCGACTTTCATCCCACCTCCCCCCTGCTTCAGAGGCGCACAACTTTTAATTGTTGTTGAGATTAGAAAATCTAGATAAGATGTCATTATAACGACGATTTAAGGTCATTTTTCGTCATTTGACGTCAGTGAACTAAATAATGACGTAAAAAGAACGTAACATTTATGACGACATATTATCGTCATAAATATATCGTCATTTTTAGGTCATATTTAATGAATAATTAATAAATATGTGTGTAACCCAATATTTAGAGTGACGCCCGTTCGATCACTTTGCGATTGAGTGCAACAAAAAAAAAGGATAGAAATGATTACACATCTTCCGTTCCAGATTTCTTTTAAGGGGGGTCTTTACGTTTAAGGATAAAAAAATTAATTTTTTTTTTGCTTTTTTTGCTTATCATTTTAAAAATATCCCACGTTTTTTGTAAGAAACGAAAATTATGCAAGATATACAAAATAAAATAACGTAGTATTTGGGGCCGCTTGATTGATTCAAATAGTGCACGCCAACCAATTGTTGTAACCGGCGCTGGCCATTATTTATTTCAATCTTTCGAGACCATTCTAAAACGTTTCTATCCAATGGATGGTCCATTTGGCGCTACAAATGCTTCGAAGCTTTTGATTGAAATTTGAAAGAAAGAATTTTACTAATTGACCAATCAAAAAATATTTCGAGGCCTTTGTAGCGCCATAAGAAATGGATGAATCACAGTTGTTTATTCTTTTCGGATTTGACTGTAATTGGTCAATTTCTTGACCACCTTAAACACCTATTGTAGATCCGGGGTAAAGCAGGGCCTCGTAACTCCTGGTACCACCGTTAGTGGTGCCCTCAGCTTATGACTCCCGGAAAAGCAGAACTAATATTCAATATGGCCGCTATATATATAGGTTGTCATGGCATATATATATCATATATAGGGTGTCTGATCCAGTTTGATCACCCGCAATCAGGATACACTACAAGATCAAGCGTTTTATTAAAACGCTGATTGCGGGTGATCAAACTGGATCAAACACCCTATATATGATATATATATGCCATGACAACCTATATATATAGCGGCCATATTGAATATTAGTTCTGCTTTTCCGGGAGTCATAAGCTGAGGGCACCACTAACGGTGGTACCGCGTTTACAAGAGGGGAGTTGGGAGGCCCTGGGGTAAAGCACGCGAACGTACCAATCGACCACAGGGCTGCGTTCGGATTCCCACCCGAGTGTTCCTCGGGTGTCATGTCTTCCTTGTTTAATGTTCGATAAACTACAAGGATGATATGACATCCGGGGAGCACCCAGGTGGGAATCCGAACGCAGCCCAGAGCCGTTGTCTTCTTAAAGGCCCGTCTACAATACACGGAGTAAGAAGTAAGAGTAAGAAATTGACCAATCACAGTCGATTATTCTTCTCACATTCGATTGTGATTGGTCAATTTCTTACTCTCACTTCTTACTCCGTGTATTGTAGACGGGCCTTTACGTCATGCACATGGTGTGGTCGTGTTCGACGGGGTAATTTTTATATAAGTATAAATAATGACGTACAAACGTAAAAAGACTCACAGAGGCGACATACATTTGAAAAGGAATTGGCAAACGAAACGGAGGACGAAGGACTTGGACGAGGTGAACGGCGTCAATTTTGTTTAAACATAACCTCTTCGACACATGATCGGCCCGTCCTGTTTTTCACGTTTTGCGATCATCGCCGCGACAAATAACACGTGATTATTTTTAGATTGACGAGGATCTGAAGGAAGAGAACGCGAGGAAGCTGTTAAACCAGGAAGTGGACTTCGATAAGCCGGGAGCGGCCCAGTATTATTGCGTGCATTGCGCGTAAGTTCGCAATATAACAGTCTAACCTACAAATTCAAATCGATAATTGTTGAGGGTAACCTCTTCACCTCTGATTTTGATAAAATTAGTCTCATTCGATGCATTTTTGTACGAAATAAACAAATTTGGCAAAAAATTGTCGCTTTTTTGCCAGATTTGTTCATTTCATGCTGAAACGCTTTGAATGAGACTAATTTTATCAAAATTTGAGGCGAAAAGGCTAAACTCCACAATTACCATCAAATTGAACACATCTGGGGTGTCGAATACACGCTTCACACGATCGATTCAAGGTCTATGTATGTCGATGAATATAATAGGCTACAGAATGCAGGAGTGTAGAACGCAGAAGATTGGATGAAGTTGATTGGACGATGAAGATAGGATGAACTTTTGTGATCTGTGTTTTATATCCTGCGTATTGTGGCCTGTGCCCTATTATAATTTGAAGTATATTTCACTTGTGATCTACGACCTGTATAGATCGGGCTGGATTAAAAGAGAGTTGTTAATAAGAAATTTTTTTGTATGAAGAAATCTGGATGGAAAAGGGAATTTATGTAAGAAATTGATTCAATTTTTGCTTTGAGTTATATTACTTAATGCTTATTCTACAATGTGCTTTTTGTTCTTGTTTCTTGCTTTTTGGTATTTTTTACATCTTGTCTTCTTGCTTCTTACCCAGTTTTTTTATTTATGTCGCCCAAGATAAAAGTTAACAAACTCTGAAAGAAATACAATTGTCAATAAAACAGTTTATAAATCCATCATCAGCTCCGAAGAATTAAGAAAAGGAAAAGAAATATGTGTGAATACAAGCTAATGCTCAGAATTACGCAAGATGAATTACATGATTATGTCATGCAGAATTACAAATCTTTGGACAGGACTGTTCTAAAAAAATGTATCAAATAACCCCATCAGGGCCTCTATTCTTGAAAAGAATCGTGTACAAAAAACTAGGGAAATACTATAGTATATAAATGTAAAAAAAAAGGTTTTTAAGAATATTCACCAAATTTCTCACAATTTGTTTTTTAACGGTAAATCAGACAATTTAATAATAATTGCGTTACGCATGGTTTGCATGACTTCATGTAAGTAATATTATTTTTTCATAAAAAAAATTGTGATTCTCTGATATAATTATAAAAATCTGATTGTAACTCTTGTATAGCAAATCGCACAATTTGATGACAAAAATTCGACAAGTGGACATCTAATAGTTTGACCATTAACCCATGTATAGAGTATTTTCTTTCATGCGTTTTTTCGAATAATTTGTATCATGCGATTAATTGTACCAATGAGAACCCGAACCAAGGGTCAAAATGTATACATGTATTTACTTTCTTAATAAATTGCGTTTAAATTATACTCGAACATCCTGTGTTGGCTCATATCGGCATTGCTTATTGTTTTACATTTAACATTTAATATTTTTTACTTAATTTGATTTTAGGAGGTATTTTATAGACAAAACTGCTCTGCATACTCACTTCAATACTAAAGGGCATAAACGACGAATGAAAGCGCTCGAATTAGAGCCGTACACTATCCAAGAGTCGGAAAGAGCAGCAGGCAAAGGAAGTTACGTCACGCCACAAAAACGAAAAATTGAAACCATGACACAGGAAGATCTGGACATAAATGCTACGTTAGATGCTAAAGTAATGAAAATAAACGAATAGAGTTACCTTATAATTCATTTCGAATCGTTGTATCTTTACTGCGATGCAAGAAAGAAGAGAAAAAATTTAAATTAAAAAATTGCAATGATTAATAACTTGTATAGATTTACTTATGCTTTAAAGCATACATACAAAACTTTGATATGTGATGTTCGTCGAAGGACTTCTCACCCACTAAACTTTGAGAGAAATTACAGTTCAGCACTGTACGTTTCCGGTAATAAGGCTTACAAATCGTTTGCATATCTGTCGCCATATTTAGACTTCGATGAGAGATTCGCCAATGTAGACAAATTACAGAAAAATCTCGCATTGCGCGGGATGGATGTAGACATCGTTCTATTGAAGGAAGCGTGGGATTTCTATACAAAGGTGGTTGCGGACAGATATGCATTAGAAAACAATAACAAGAAACTGACGGATCGCATGAAAACTCTGCTGGAAAACGTCGAGCATACTGCTGAGCAGGAACAAGAGATGCTCAAGTTGCGTACACAGCTCAAGATCATACGGCAAGATTTAAAGATGATGAAGGAAGCGATGTGGGACCTGGATGAAGATGTAATAGAAAAGGTCTTGAAGTTACCGAACGAGTTGGATCCTAGAACGCCTGTCGGTGAACCGGTGATACTGAAGAGTGTCGGCAACTTGCCGGAGATATCGGAAAAGAAGAGAAGTCACCTCGATGTTGGGACTAGTCTAGACCTGCTAGAATACAAGAATTCTATGTGTTATTTCCTAAGCAACGACGCGGCTTTGTTCGAGCTTGCTATATTGGCACATGTAGGCCGAGTTCTCGGCGAAAACAATATGATTAAGGTAGCCGGTACGGATTTCAGCCGCAGTTTTGTGGTAGAGGCTTCCGGTTTGAATCACGAGGATCCTATGGCCAGTTTTGTGATAGAGAATCATAACGAAGTCGAGAGAGGTTCGCCAAATCGCATGCATCTGGTTGGTGGCGCAAGCTTAGTTTCTTTTCTGGCTTTGCATACAAAGCAGCTGATAAATCCCAAGAATTTCCCGCTTAAGTACTTTGCCACCGGCAGACAGTATATACCATCACCGCGAGATTCGCACACTTATGGCTTATTCACCATATGCCAGGCTTCCGTTGCACACTCCTTCATCATGGTGAAAGATGCAAAGAGCGAGGAATATAAAATCTTGTTCGAAGAACTTTTGGAGATTGTATGCAGATTGTATGACGATCTGTGCAATCATTATCGCGTCGTCATGCGACCCGCGTCCGAGTTGCAATCTTGTGAGGAAATGCGCGTATCTTTCGAGATGTGGTCGCCATTCTTGAACCGATACATCGAGATCGGTCACGTATCTACATATGGTGATTATTTCAGCAAGAGATTACTAATTGTCTATCAAACATCCACTGGCAGGGAGTTCCCTAGCATGATATCAGGCACCATTCTCTCCGTTCCGCGTCTACTGGCTTGTCTGCTCGAACAGAATCCCGACAGATTCGTGATTCCATCAAAGATTGCCGAATTTATACCGTCAGACAATTATATTATGTAAATCAGTTTGTAAATTATCATGAAAATATATATAATTTTGTCCATGATATTGCTCTTAAGATATTATTCTATTTCATAAAAAAATGTTAGGCAAACTTTTCAAGTTAACAGAAAGGACAATTAAAAGAAGGCCAAAAAGGAGCAAAAATAGTAAATAATAGACGTAATATAAATAATAATGTGAATGATTCATATATATAGTGAAAAAACGGTTTTGACTTTTATTTTAATAAAGTAGAATAAAATAGAAAAATAAGAAGTCGTAGGTTGAATATGAATTTTGATGACCAAAAATGCTTAATTTTTATCGTGCGAAGCATTTCAAATGATCTCTTATTATTATTGATGCTTTCTGAGGAAGACTGTTTCATCGTTACGTGTATAAAGCCAGTAGGTAAATGATACAAGCATAAAGATATAAGATCCACAAACGCTACAATTTTTCTTTCAATAAGTCAAGTATGTTCAAATAGGAATCGTGAAGCATCTCCGTGTCTTCGATAATTTATACTATTATTTTGTTTCTGTCTAAAGACGTCATTTCGGAAATGATTCTCTTATAGCAACTATCGTTCTAAGTCTAACATTTCTATATTATCCCAGTCGAATGTATGATTACGTTTTATATGTTCAGACATAACTGAATGCTTCGATAAATCCAATCTGATGTTGAAAAACACAGTAAGCCTACTTTTCTATTTTATTAAAATATTCCTTCTGACTGTTTTTAATAGACTGTGATTAGCCTTTTTTACAATATCCGATTACACTACTTCCTTTGGATCAAAATGATTGGATCCTTTGGATCAAAATGATTTTGGATTTGAAAGATGTTGCCATAAAACATTCGTATTGCTCAAAGAGCAATTAGTTGATTAGAATACGAATTGTAAAACTTAAAGAGACGATATTTTTAGATTAGAGTATATCAGTAATGTATATTTAAGAAATATATACATAATATACATAGATTATCCAGCTTTTGTATACAATGTAAAGGGTATTATTTATTATTATTAGGTCACTATTTTACAAGGTACCGATCGATGTAATGCAAAACTTCAAAAGCGACCTCTACCATAATAAGTATAATAATCATCCATTCCAAACGTACGTGATGACGATCGCTCAAGTGCGACGACAAGATGCTCACCAGTTCCAAACAGTGATTTAATCTCTCGTTCATCACCTACATAACCAATAAATATTTTACGAAAGCTAGAAACATAGAAATCAATAAAATATATATTAAACACTTACTTTCGTACGTTTTGCGATGCTAAAATATCCACAGGTTTGTTGATACAAACTTTCCAAATCGTCTCGTTCCCAGTAGAAATCAGGTGTATCCAACAGATCCGACGTTAAATTGATACGGTGTCTGAGAGCGAACAATTCACCCTGCTTCTTCAATACCTCGTGCTGCGTCATCTGAATCTTCTTACCAATTTTTAGATCTTCCGTAACAAATTCAATTGAATCGACATAACGATTTAACGATGCCTCCCATATGCCTAACTTGACAGATTGTGCCATGGCATTGGAAAACGTGTATTTATCCAAATTTCCTGCTTCCTGTGCCAGAATAATATCGCCATCCTTCAAGTGACTCTGTTTCCTATTAGATTCCGAGAATTACTGAATTTTTTTAAGCACTCACATTTATCAAAGTTTCTCACAGTTTATTTTATACGTGGAGTCCGTGAATATAAAAATATTTAGTAATAAAAAATAGAGATACCCGGGATCCGCATAAGTATAATTCATTAACTCGCTTTCGGTTTGAACCAATTCTTCTATATAACGATTTTGTTCGTAACGTCTCAAAAATTGCAATACGTTGCCACATTCGAGATCAGAAATATTCCACATAACAATGCTACCTTCTCGGAAGAAAAAGATCTCTCGTGGTTCATGTCCCACTTCATATTTGGCTACCGCATGTACGACATCAGGTAAAGCTGCAAAAAAAAAACAGTTCGAAATACAGAACAAATTTAATTTTAAATTTTATAATTCGGAAGCAGTAGAAAGGATCTTATTTATTTTAATGAAACAAAAGTTTTAATTGCTATATAAGTAAATGCATTTTATTTCAATATATTTGTACATATATTTGTATATGAATATGTGTATGTTTACAAATGTACATACAAAATCTTAATTCATAAAATATCGAATTTATGGGTAAAAATATTAAGTACGGAATCTATAGACGCTGCTCAAGATTCGAGATGGTCTTAAGCTAGCGCTTGAACCAATCAGAGACAAGGTATGCTGTAGCCAAAAATTATAAAATTATATTTAATCTGCATTAAAGCTAGAGAAATATCTAGCCAGAATTAAACAATATTGAAAAATGTGAAAATGGTGCATGCGTGAAAAAAAGTTCATTTTTACGTAAAAATTCGACATAAAATGTAGATAACAAAAAAAGTATATAAGTTAGCGCAAAAATCGCTGGTATTTCTTTAAATAATTCAATTGATAATAACTCAACCAAATTTCAAAACATTTGGATTAATTTTGTGGTAATTCTGGTGTCCGCCGTTTTTAAAAACACCATTCTGAGAAAAACGTGATTAAAGTTTCAATAACAATCCCTTTTCATTGTATTTTAAGTACATGGACGCACTAATTTCTAATCGAAATCGGTATAATCTATATTAAAATTGTATGTCAGCGTCATCTACAGTACATATATGTAACTACAACATCAAATAATGACGGAATTATTCATAAACGGAACAGTTTAATAGCAGCGTAGAGGCACCGATTGTGATCCATCGACATAATCAACTGTATCTTTGTTAATATTAGGAATTTCACTTTTGGATAAAAAATTTTATATCTTAAGACCCTAAACTATTGATTTAAGCAAAAAATTCGATTTTTTGAAAGTTTCAAGGTGGATTAACCCTTTAATTGTCTACTTTTTATATGCATAAGCATGACCAATATATAAGCGATACTTATCACAAATAAGTGAATTAAACCATGGACAATACAGCATATATTCGGTGACGTGCAAAAATTCATATTCACTTCGAATAATTACAACATCTCATGAAATCTCATGTAGTTGCTTACATCATTTATATTTCATAAAAATGTAAAATATCCAGAAAATTCAGTTATAAAGATACTTACGACTAGTTGATGTAGAGATTTTACTAGGAATATATAACTGTTGATCCAATAATCCATAAGCTAAAGTTTCCAAATTGTATTCCTCGGCAGTGGCTAATGCTTTCACAGTCCATGCCTAACATAGAAATTTCTTTTATACATATTACTCCTTTACTTTAAAAATGACACAACTGAAAAAATTAAGTTTCACAAAAGAGGAGCAAACCTATTTTTCAATTTGATAGAAAATTATTGCCTTATCAAATAATATTGACAGAAAGATATTCTTAATCTGATTTTCATACTTTTTGTGAATAATTGTTTAAAACTATCTTTTTTTTGTGACAATTTTACAGTGCCTCTTTATGAATTAAATTAGTCCACTTAAATTTATCAAGTTAGTTCATATTTGATTGATAAGTTAACAGAATAATGTTTATTTAACTCATACATAGTACAACTAAAAAATTATGTTTTTTTAGTTGTATGTTTTATGCCATTTTTTAAGTATAGAAGTGATACATCTTCTCTTTTTTTTTCATTACAGGCTTGTAAAATTAAAGCAATATTCTAATTCTTTACACAATAAACTTACATTAAGCTTTGGAATCTTGTCGTCATTTATTATGGTCCTATTTCTCCTAGATGGTCTTTTTTTTATTTGAAACGTAGATACGTTATCTACAATACCAATTCCATTTTCTTTTGGGTTAACTTTATCCAAGTAGATTGTAGAATTGTAAAAATGTTTCTTGTGAGTTATGCACATGTGATATATAGAAAATTCTGCTTTTATCACTGCTGTCCTTTCTCGCAAAATATTCAAACTCGGTACAATTCTTCGGTATGTATCAATGTCAATTTTACCTCTACAGTTCGATATCACAAATCTTTGAATCATTGCGAGAATCATCATGTTATTTTATTAAAAGTATACTTATTATGGTATACTTTTACCTTATATGCTATTTTTACACGTGCAAATAATATTTATACAAATACCTTTCAAAATCTTTACATAAAATTGGAAATAAATTTGTATTAAAACATTTATAACGAATGTACGATCATTCTGCGATATAAAATTTGAATATTTATTTATAAAATACTCTTCTCATCTCTTAATAAAAATGTACCCATTCAACTTTACTCAGAACGAAAGAACTCGAAGAAAAAGGGGGACGATTGGCCTAACAAAACAAATTATTAAGCGTTAAAGTTCGAAATTTTAGAGGTTAAGATATATGCTTTCCAACAAGAAAAATATACAGACTGTCACAGATAACTGAGACAACGGGTGCATCCAGAAGCACGACCGCTCACTGAGCGCTCGGTGAGCTCTTGCATCTGATTGGCATATTCCATTAGATCGAAAAATATAGACCAAACAGATACAAGAGCTCAATGAGCGGTCGTACTTCTAGGTGCACCTAACGTTTACAGTGGCTGTGTTCAGCAAACTCAACAGTTGAGTGAGCGCTCGCTGTTATTGGTGTATTCTTTTAGATCGTCCAACCAAATTTTAGATCTAGAAGAATACATCAATAGCAGCGAGTGCTCACTCAACTGTTGAGTTTGCTGAATGCAGCCAGTGTTTACACTGCTCGATTTATAACATCGATGTTATGAAATAGACCAATCATGGCTATTCCTCTGACGAATGGAATGACTGTGATTGGCCAGTTTCGTACATCGATGTTGTAACTTCGACGTAAATCGAGCCGTGTAAACGTAGTCATAGACCCATATGTTGGATTCACACTGCATCCGATTTGCTCTGCAACCTATCAGAAAACAGGATTCCGATGGATTTTGCTTCGTATCATCGAAATTCTGTTTTCTGATTGGTTGAAGAGTGTCGTACGACGCAAATCGGATGCAGTAGGAATCCAGCATAAGCCTTTAAACACGTGTTAAGGTCACAGCACAAACTTTTAACGCATAAAGCAAAATACATAAGTGAATCAACTAATCAGGCTATGTTCCAAAACTTCCTCTCCGAGGAAGATTTTACTCTATGCTATAGTGTACGTTACGTGTACTATATATTTCGAGTAAAATTTTTCTTTGAGAGGAAGTTTTGGAACGTAACCTCAGTATCTTTCCTTTTCTCTCATTCCATAGAAAAGAAGAATTTTGATTGGTTGATTTCCTTATGCGCTATTCATTATGCGTTACGCAAGAGTCTGTGCTGCGGCCATTAATCGGAGTTGGTGTCGTTGATGAAAGAGACCTTTAGACGAGATTGCACATGGATTATTGACAAGTTTCGCGTGGTGAAACTTTTTGCAGTTTTAAGCCAGTTTGTAAGGATAAAGGGAGGATTTTATTTTTGCGCAAGTATTAATTATTTAGGTAACGATCAGAATATTTTTTATCGGCTATATTTTATCAACTCTCCAGGATTTACTAACCTTCAAATTAACATATTCTTATTTTTTAATGTTACATTCCAAAATATCCCCTTTGAGGAAAATTTTACTCAATACACTATTGCATGTTACGTGTACTTATATATTTTGAAGAAAATTTTTCACGGACAGAACGTTTTAGAATGCTTAACTTTTTGTGAATGCATTTTCGCAAATAGCCACCCAAACCTTTTTATCATTAAGCGGCTCCGTTCACAAAAGATTAAATAAATGTTTCGATGAAAATTTCACAAAATTGTCAATGATATATATTTTTCAAATATTTCTTGTATTTTTTATATTATTACCAGGTTATTTTTAATGTCGCTACATTGTACAATCTTGCATGCTTTTAGCAAAACATGGTACTATCGTGTCGATTTTATAAAGAAAAGTATCCAGAAGTGGAGGACGTAGTGATGGTAAATGTACGCAGTATAGCTGAGATGGGTGCATACGTTCATCTATTGGAGTACAACAATATTGAAGGCATGATCTTGCTCTCTGAGCTCTCTAGAAGACGTATTAGGTCTATAAACAAACTTATCCGAGTAGGCAAAACTGAACCGGTTGTTGTTATTCGTGTAGATAAGGAGAAAGGTAACCGAAGATATTTTATTGTTTTAAATAAAAAATCAACAGAAAAAACTATATCGAGTAAATGAGAATCAAGTACATTAGTCAAAAATTAAATCATTTACATAAGTTTTCAAGTTATTTTATACAATTCTCATTTGTAATGAAATGTATTAATCATGGATTCTAGGTTACATCGATCTGAGTAAGCGTCGTGTGTCTGCTGAGGATGTGGAAAAATGCACAGAGAGATATGCTAAGGCTAAAGCTGTTAATTCAATTTTAAGACACGTGGCAGAGCTGTTGCACTATGATAATGATGACCAGCTTGAGGAACTCTATCAGAAAACAGCCTGGCACTTTGAAGAAAAATACAAGAAACAGAAGGCATCTGCTTATGATTTTTTTAAACAATCAGTATTGTAAGCAAAATCTAACTGCCCTTCTTTATTTATATTTGAAAAAAATATATTTAAATGTATCTCTCTCTGGAGATATATTTATGAACACAAACACTTTTAGGGATCCCTCCATTTTAGCAGAATGTGGTTTGGACGAACACACGAAGGAAGTGTTGCTAAATAATATCAAACGAAAACTTACTTCGCAAGCAGTTAAAATTAGAGCAGATGTAGAAGTTGCTTGTTATGGTTATGAAGGCATTGATGCTGTTAAGACTGCATTAAAAGCAGGCTTAGCTCTTTCCACTGATGAACTTCCTATAAAAATTAATCTAATTGCTCCTCCATTATATGGTATATGTTCTATATTATTTTTCAAATCAATCATGTATTAAAAATCATGATGTTATATCTTATATGGTGATCTTCAGTCATGACGACATCTACTCCAGAAAAACAGGATGGTTTAAAGGCGTTAAGTGATGCAATCGAAGTCATACAGAATAAAATAATGTCACTTGGAGGTGTATTCAACGTACAAATGGCAGTAAGTTTTATGCATAAATAATATTCATCTAATAGTTTCTTTGCATATTATAATAAAGAAATTATACTGTTTTTTTCTACAATATTAGCCAAAAGTCGTTACTGCGACAGACGAAGCAGAATTAGCGCGACAGATGGAACGAGCGGAACTCGAAAATGCGGAGGTTGATGGTGATGACGAAGAAGAGGTAGAAGGATTGGAAGGTGATTTTAGTGGTGGCGAAGGAGCCGAACAAAACAGCAAAGATATCGAACAGAATGGCAAAACTATAGACGAGAACGATAAAGAAGATGTATCCGAGGAAGATAATTAAAAAATAAATATATATATGGAAATAAAGTATTCTCGATTAACTAACAAACATTTGTATGTTTTTCAATTGAAATTAGAATTTAATAAATTTTCTATTGCCTTTTTGTTGGATATACCAGAACAATGTTTTAATAAATATGAAAATAAAAGATGTACAAATCAATATAATTTATAGAAATGAAATTTTCTACACTAACTTGATATACAATAAATAATCTAAACACATATTTTTATTTTTGATAAAAAATCAAACATTTCAATTCATACATGATATATTTAAGATGCGTTCTGAGTTAGAACGCACCTTTAAGTTAGAATATCTCAAAAACTTGACGTGATACGACATTTTCGCGGCCAGATTCGTAATCGGTGCATCAAAATCTATCAGAAACAACTTCGTTTACTTTAAGGCCAAAAAAAATGTCGAATTTTTGTCGACCAGTGTAATAGTTTCCTCTGGAATGCTCTAAAAAGTCATGCAAGCAAACAGGCTGATTTTTTTAGTATTAGATTTTCTAATTATTGTCATTGTAAATGGATTTAATAGACTAAATAGATATTGTTCTTAGGAGATACATGGAGAAATAATGATTCTTCAGGAAGACTTTTGTATTATTATTTACAACGTTATTTACAATTATATAATATGAAAAATAAAGTCAGTAAAAATAATTATTTTAGTTAAATATTATTATTTTTATGACAATGTTAGGTTAATAAGTTTATCAATTTTTCAAAGTATAACCATAAATTTCGAAATAGATTAATTTTATGAAAAATAAGTCGTCAATATGAGCAAAAGTATTAATTTTTGCTTATATTGACTAACTATTTCTTATTTTACTATAATTGGAAATAACAGGATTACCTGGATTTTTGTGTAAATTATAATCCGCGCGTCAAAATAAGGTACAAGTACAGAGTCGATAATATAGAATATGATACCGCACAGTTGGTGATTAATTTTTATTTCTATTACATTTATGTAATAATTATTATTTCCCAAATTATGAGACTGTTTTCCTAAACTTTCCCAAATTGTTCCCAAACTTTTGCAATAAAAAAAAACGAGAAATGTTACATATTTCTACTAACTATATGCTCGATTAATTTTCGTTGATTATGAATAAATTATTATTTCCTAAATTATGAGACTGTTTTCTTAAATTTTCCCAAACTATTCCCAAATTATTTCAATTAAAAAAAATAAGAAATCTTAAACTTGTCTGCTATCTGCTAAATATACGACGATATCAATAGATGGTGGATTGCACTATGAAAATTTTTGCGTATTCCAAAGATCATCGAAAAAAAGTGTCGCTACCTTTCTGCCTCTGACTGTACATATATATATATACATACATACACTGTCTTTAAAGCCAGCGGCACACGATGCTTATTTTCTTGCTGGATTGCTAGCTGAATTAGAATCTTGCCACCGTATTGGCTGCGATGCTGTCAGTGCCTAGTATCACAGCCAATACGATGGTAAGATTGTAATTCAGCTAGCAATCCAGCAGGAAAACAAGCATCGTGTGCCGCAGGCTTTGGAGACTCTAATGATAATCGTTTTCGTGCGCGTGAGGTTCGCAGAGACTCACTGCTCGACAGCTCGACGTCATTGATGATGGCGCGCGATTTGTCACGATTAGGTTAGAGGATAGCAGCGATAGTTATCAACAACTGTGATAACGGCGTGATAATGATAGTGGCATGTGTTGTTACAAACCGCGCGTAGTCTGGACAGGAATCCCGGACTGCCGCACACGAGCGCGAGAACGATCG